ATACATTTTTAATATAAAATTACATATTATGAACGTAAGATTTTATTAATAACCAGTAGTCTATAAAATTACATATTATGAACGTAAGATTTTATTAATAACCAGTAGTCTATTAAATTAATTTACTAATAGTATGTAACGGAAAAATTCCGACTATCAAAAAATCATGCCGGAATTTTTTTTAATTAACCGGAATCTCCGGTATTTTACAGTAGATTTTGTGCCCTGCTTCTAACGTTTTGCGTATATATGTTAATTCACGTGATATGTCGTCATCGCGAAAATACGCGTTTTCGTTTTTTTTGTTTATATTTTTTCGTCAGCTAATGATAAAATGATAATAGTTTACTAAAACTATAATTAATGAATGAGACTATTCATTACAAATCACAATCATTATTTTGATCTTCTCAATTTATCATTGTATGTAAAGACACGAAAGACAATATGATAAGACAATATTGATTTTGTATGTGGTATACACATGACTTACGCGTCCGTCGATCGCGTCCGTTCCTCGCATATTGGGCGCGACAGCGTATTGATATGGATATGAAAACTAAACCGTAAAACCTTCGTATTATGGACTAACATTCATTCATATTTGATATTAAATTTAACAAGTTAAAATATTTGTACAGAATATTTTATTTACCATTATATATGATAATAAGAAAAGAAAAACAAAAAAGGTTACAAAGAAAAATAATGCTAAATTTTTTTTTTGTAACTTTTAATAAAGAAATATAATTAAATTGCTCTTCGTGCAAAAAATATATATATTTAATATTAAAGCCGACATCAGCCATGTAATTAGTACCAATATTTATTATTCTCAATTATATAAAATGTATTTAAAAATGCTAAGATACTTAAGATCAATTACTTTCGACTTTTACAGTGCTATTATTAGCCACTTCTTCATTATCGGGTAAAGATACACTCTTCCTATTTGCTTCGTCATCTTTATTATTGGACAATTCTGTACTCTTCCTCTTATCTTCGTCGTCATTGTCATCACTAGTGGACAATAGACTCTCTCTATTTGCTTCATTATTAGTGGATAATGTACTTATTCTTTTTGCTTCATCGTCATTATTGGAAAAAAGCATACTCATCCTTTTTCCATTATCATCATGATTGGGAAACAATATACTCCTTCTATTTGATCCATCTACACCTAATACTCGTTTTTCAACATCTTTAATCACAGCCACTACATTGTCCAACCAATGGGGCTGTCTTTCCTCAGGTTGAATTACCTGTTGTATGATCGTACTTTGTACTATCGTTTCATGTGTAACTTCGCTAATAATTTGATTATTTATGTTTTCTACATTTGTTGTATTATTAATTTCATTAATGTTCTTTATCTCGTTAATATTTTTGGTCTCATAATTATTAATGTTAATCGTTTGAACAGTTTCTATGGTTTCAACACATAGATTTTGTGAATCTAATTCTTCTACAACATTAATGCTCTTAATCTTTGTATTTGTACCTTTTACATTCTCAACGTTTTGAGTACCAATATATTGTGTCTCAATCCTTGTTTCAACGTATTGAGCTTCAATATTTTCCACGTATTCAACGTTATCCACTTTTATTTCAACGTTCACGCTTTCAACATTCATGTTTTCAACATTTCCAACGTTTTCGACTCTTTCAACGTTCTCTAAATTTTCAATGTTTTCAATATTTTCCACTAATTGATTCTCAACACCAACACTCTTTTCAACGTTAACATTTACGTTCTCTATTTTAGTTTCAACCTTAGTTTCAACATTCTCAACATACTGATTTTCTACATCAATTTTATTTTCAATATTTTCAATAAATTGCCTTTCAATAGTCGTATTCTCAACGTTCATCGTTTCAACTTTTTCGATTTTTGTATCAATATTCTCAATATTGGTGACGTTTTGAGTTTCCACATGACTACCAATTTCCACTTTTTGTTCAATATTATAAGTTGTTGTTGGAACATTATAAGATTGTTGACGAAGTTTATCTTTTTCATAGTCAGCACGTGCAGTTTCAATGGTTTTTAAAATCTTTTTTCTATCTTCCTTGAGAATTTTAATTTGATCCAAAATCAATTGTCGTTGTTTTCCTTTACCCATACCCCATGTATTCAAATGATCTTCTATCTATTTATTATTATTAAAAGAATAGTTATAAATGAATTTCATATATTTTTACAGTAAAATTAAATATGATAAAATTTAATATATTTAGATAATTAATTACCTTTGAACCATGAACCACATCAACTAGTTCTTGAATAATCAAAAGAACCTCGACTGCTTTGGCTGATAATTGCTTCTTAACATCCGCGTCAAGAATTTCTTGACAAAATTCAAGTAAAGTAATTGAATAATTATTCTTTGATTCAGATGATTGTGGAAATTCTATCACCAAACGTTCCATTAAAATTAGATAACCTATTAATAAAGTATCAACATTGTCGGGTAATGAGCAAAGAAATACTCCACTATAATCGGAATTGAAACAAGTAAATATTTAGTAAAATTAATTTTGAAAAATTTTATATATTAAGAAAAATAAATAAATAAATTCACCTTCCACGTTTAAGAACTTTATATTTGACATTTTTTACAGCAATTGTCGTTCTCCTTCCTCTAATTTGTTTAAATTCTTCACGTGCTATATTGTACAGCTTCGTCCAAAATTCAGAATAACCTTCAGGATTTTGTTTTAACTCATGGAATTCTTCAAGAATTACTCTCCATTTGTCATACCATTCTCCCGCTGGATATTCAAACTGCTCAACAAGAATTAAGAATTGATAATTGATATTTATAGTTTTGTCATTATTAAAAAAAAAAATAAAATCCAATGAAAAATTACCGAAAATGATTTAACAGCACATGCCAAAGCTGCAAAATAATTCTTTATTGCAGCATGAGCAGCAGCATCAGCAATATTTCTCACAAATATAAGACCATATTCCAATTTTGTTTGATCATCTTTGATTTTTTTCAAACAACATCTAATTTCACGAAGATAGAATGTTATATTTGGATTTATTTTAGCGGATGTACGTTGTGATGCATCCCAGAATCTAGCCATGCTTTTATAGAGACGTTCACGAGTTTCTTGTTCTAACATTGAAATTGACCTGGAAGCTACATGAACTACTGCAGACATTGCTTTTCTATAATAGAGAAAATATTTAACAATATATGCATGAGTATGAAAAAAAATAAATAATACAAACCATTGAATCAAACTTACAAATGAAGTTCCAATTCAGCAGTAGTTTCACCATATTTGAGAATTTTATAATCACCAAGGTATACGGCTGATCTTGTAACAAAAGTTTGAACTAAAAAAAAAAAATTTGAATCAGATGCACAATTATTTTTAAAACTCACGCATAAATTATCTAAATCATATAAATCATCGGATTAGATTCATACCAACAGTACAAGTAATATCTTCTTCAGGCACATTCGTCAAAGATTCCATGACAGAAACTATCTCGTGTAATGCAAAGTCTCGTGCTCTTTTTTAAATAAATAAATAAATAAATTTATATTTATATATCATTAATACATAATCATCTAACTCAGCCATATATATATAATCATCTAACTCAGCCATATATATATATATATATATAATTTTTTTTTTTAAATGATGAATAAACTTACAAGTTGTTCTCTTTACGTAAGTTATTCAAAACAACCTGATATTTTGTAATCTCACTCATATTAAAATCATTCTTGACAACCAATTCACCATTATTTTCAATTTTAGTAGCAACTTTAACATCATCAGCTTTCATCACCTCGGTAACCGCAGCGGAAAGTTTCTTGTCTATCGTCGTTTTCCGATCAAGGTTTGAGTTTTGCTTTTCATCCTTGGCATTTTCATCTTTTGTATTTCCATTCATGACATTTTCATTTTTTATATTTTCATCCATGGCATTTTCATCTTTTGCGTTTTCATCCTTTGCATTTTCATCCTCTTTTGAAGAAGAGGAGTTCATTTCTTGTGGGGATTTAATGAGACCTTTATCATCATAGGAAGCTTGTTCAAGAGAAAGCGTCGTAAGTGTATTTTTTGTGCCTTCTAAATTTTTGACATGCTTTGGAAGCGACGTTGTTGTGGTTGTCATTTTCGTCTTTAAAAATTAGATATTTAAAGAACAAAATACAAATATTTTGTTTTATAACTTGCTCGTTAAAAACAGTATCAATATTAGATTGATATTTTGCTCGTTAAAAAAAGGATTAATATTAGATTAAAAAAAAAAGAGAAAAAAAAAAGAAAAAAAAAAGAAGCAAAAAAGCAAAAATGTTGGTTTCTAAAAAAAAGAAAACAAGACTTCGAGAATTATAATGAAAATTTAATCGGATAGGATTGGTTTCTTTTCTTTTTAAAAAATGATTGGTCAAGATACGAATAGTTTTCCGCTGTGGAAATTAAATTTTTTTGCTTAATAACATAAAATATATTCTAGTTTATTTTTATGTTGAGAAATCCTAAACACTACTACTCTCAAACATAAAATAAAATACTGTGTAATTAGAAGAAACAATCTATGTAAGTATGCATGCTAAAAATATATAATCAAAAGATAAAAACGTGGAGAAGCTCCACGAAAACTCCGAAAATATGTAGAGAAATAGAAAAAAAAACCGATGTGGGTTTTTATTTGAGACCGAGCCTACTCGACGCCTCGTCCATTCAAAATATAAAATTGATTTGGTAATTTAAAAGGTTGATGTCTAATAAATACTGTTGCACGAGTCCATTACGCTAAGTAAGACCATTGTGATTGGTTATGGTACAGTTCTCACCAGCGTGGAAAAAAATTAAAAACATTTTAATAGATTATCAATATGGCCTTCCTTTTTTTTGATGGTCACATATCCTTGTTATTTAAAAATTATTTGTAGTACAATAGATCTACGACATTAGAGTTATCGTTTTAAGTAAAGCCTCCTTTAAAGAAGGAACAAAGGACGATGTTTATGACTCGGTGAGAATATTAAAGAAAAATTAGATATTTATTTGTATTATATCGGAATATGCAGTGGTGATATGCTGTATTTATTAAATATATGCTTATATTACCATATGCTAATCGTATGCATAACATTCATGTCAGGGAAAATCCTATCCTTTTTTTTATACTGCTTCTAACTCAAAATTCTTATTTTTAGGTCATATCGAATTCTAACCTTCTTCGAATCTATTTTTTTAATCGATTCGAAATGATTCGTTTCGCGTACATTTGATACTTTTATTAAATATTTATTACGCATACATCAATTTTATTTCACGCTCATATGTTTTGTTTATTACCACCAATGTTATAGAATTATTTATTATTCCCTTTAATTCTTTGGTATAGATAAAAAAACATTTATTAATAAACAATTAATGCATGCATCGTATCTCATCATTTTTCATTTATGCTGTAATTGGTGCATATAGATATATGCCTTGTCGATACGTGTAGCGAACCAACGGCATAAATAACCCTTCTTGACGTTATATGTATATTTTTTCAGTAATACAGTATGCACTAAAATTATGGAATCTTTTCACATCATAATGTCCTAACTTAACATTGATAATGGTTTCTTGCAGAATTATACGATTGATATTTTTTTAAAAATCTCACGCTTAAATTCTCATTTAGCATAGCTCCTATTACCGTTACTGTATCAAAATGATATATTATATCGACATCTGCTGTTCCCCATATATGTACATACATATTCAACTTCCAAATTTTTAAATACCCGGCCTAAATAAAATTGACGTATGGGCACAGAGTCTACAATTCTGTATATATATGGTATACATGTACAAGACCTGCATTTAAGATTTTCATTTGACTTCGTAGAAACATTCATTTAATGGTATATTAATTTAATTAATGCTTTCTCTAGTATATAATTTCAAATATACCTTTCAAGTCATATCTTTTGCGGTTTTTTTTTTAAACAAACATCTAAATTTAGAACGAATAACAAACATTTAAATTTAAAATGAATATTTTATAAATTTGTCTTGCAAAAGGTAAATCGCGGTTAAAGGGTATAAAAATAGCAAATTTAATAGTAGAAATTATCGGAATTTAATATAGTTTTTCTATAGGGTTTGAATGCAGCTAGCTTGCAATGAACATTTTTTTTTATGCCAAGTAAACCTTCCTTGAGTTTCTAACAAATATTATAGAGCAAGTTACTCCGGTTCTAATAGTGGTAGAATTATTCAATTTGGTTCGGTAGACCGCGAGTTATTTGAATTTTCTCCTTTATAACTATATGACTTTACATATTGTCAGCATTCCAACATTAAATAAAAGTAATAGTAAATCTCCGCCGATTTTTACTATGAAATTTATGCGATCTACCACATAAATATGATGGCCAAAAGAAAGCTCTATCAGTAGTTATCGTTATGTACACTCATACTAGATTATAGATGCTGGTGAAATTAAACTATTTCACCAGGTGAAATGGTGAATAGTTTCACCAAAATTGCACCAAAATAAAAAATTTGGTGAAATTGGTGAAATGATGAAACAGTAAAATAATAAAATAGTAAATGGTGAAATCGATAAAATGGTGAAACGTTCATTAATATTTGACTACTTTCATTCTCTATACTTATTTATACGATTATCAATGTTCTTATTTCCATTCATACGTCTATACCAATTCATTTCTACTTTGGTACAGCAAACTTATGACTACAATTTCACCAATTTCATCGATTCGACAATTATACCAGTTACACTAATACCGATTGGTGTGGTGAAATCATTTAATCATTCTAATTTAATTTCACCAGCATCATTATACCAGATCCGCAAAAAAAAAATGATTATCGTTATTCAATAACCCATGCATGCGTTTCTTTGATCCATTAACCCATTTTTACAATATAATTTTAATTCTATGTGAAATTTTCTCATTCTAAGGATTAATAATAATCTATATTAGGCATCATTGAATGACGCCGATTTGCAGGAATTTCATGATTAACGAAATCTATCGATAAAAAAAAAATTTATCCTATAAATGTAATAATACAAAGTTTATATATATAGAGAAAATAATTACGTTAATCCATCTTAAAAGTTGGAAAAGTGAAAAAAATTTGGGCATACATCCGAAGTTTGCTTTGGATGAGAATTCTGACGGAATTAGAATTTACAAAATTCTTCTCCAGAACACTCTTGATTCAAATCAAGCTGGTTCCAATTTGGGGTACAATGTATATATAAGGTAAAAGGGGTATTATACGTAGCGTGGACGGGCAAAGTGGTGGATTTGCACTTTACCTATCCTCTTCATACATCTTTTCTTATCGTTATATTATAAAAGAAACCTATATATATTGATTGTGCTTCCAGAATCACTGATTGTATTATTTCCTGAACAATGATCATACTGTTCTCATGACAACAGTATAATGACTATAAATGTTTTCAAAATATTTTTTTATGTTCGCACACAAAAAAAAAACAAACAAACCTATATTAGAAATATATGTTATAGATGAGAACACTTATTATTTTACTTTTCACAAAAAAATTTTTATAATAGTGTTCTCATGAAAACTCTGAAAATAATTTCGAACACTGTTTCCGAAATGTTAGCCTAACCAATATGAGTTAGCAAGTTCAGATAGGGATGGTAAAAGTCCTGTTCGATCCTGTTGGGTCTCGTTCCATAGAAGTCATGTTTAGAACTAAGTTCGAATTATCATATGAAATCTACATTCCTTAAATTTCGGTTTTTCATACATGTATGATTTTAGTACAATAGCGATAGAACAAAAAACTGAAATTCCTAAATGAATTTTTTGGGGACTTTGGCCGTTAAAACCGGTTTTTTTTTTTTTAGAACTTTGAACTGCAATTTCGAACTAGGACCAGACTGTAGAATCACAGATTAAAAATTTTAGCGTTAAGTAAAATTTTCGATATTTGGAATTCCAACCAATCAAATAACATATTATCATTTAATAAAAATTGAAGTTTGTTTTAAAGCAGAGTACCGAAATTAAGCTCCCTTTTTTGTATGTAGTGCTGGCCAAAATGGTACAACTGTTCTACCTAAAAAAATTTCGCAAATCAAAACCCAATAACCGTTCATTTTACCTATTAAACCACCTGCGCATTAACAAAAAGTTTTCCTTGCGAAATTTTGGTATTAGAAAACCTCTCCTTAACCTAACTAGAAAAATGGCGACGTTTTATGGGCTGGAGTCTTACGCTTTAGAATCAAATTTAAATTGTATAATAAATTTATAAAAAAACGATCTTTGTTGCAAACGTACATTTTGCATTATCGAAAATAAAATCAATAAGAGTAGTCAATAGAAATCAAGCAAATTATTTTTAATAAATTTTTTGAAACTTTAAACAACAATAACTCAGCAAAAACTTAATCAAACTTAATAATTTTTTTAAAAATTAAATTCTACAAACTTGTAATATTTATTTTTTTAAATTTGATAAACTTTTGGTTATCTGTGTTTAAAGTTTCATAAAAATTTAAAAAAAATTTGCTTGATTTCTATTGACTCAATCTCATATATTATTTATGCTACTAATAAAACTTTTTAAAATTACAATCAATTTTTATTAAAATTTTACAAAATATAAATAAAATAATTTATTTATTATGGTAAAAATTTGAACTATTATTATATTTAAAAAATATATACTTATATATATTACAAAATTTTTCTGAATTGGTTCAAAAAATCTGAAATAGCATGAGATTGTTAAATTTACTAAATTTAATTAGTTAATTTTTTTTTTGTTAAAATGATCTCTTTGGTCTTTTGAGTTTTTATTAATGACTTTTTTGATAATGTAATTCTATGAGTTATTACAGAAAAGTGTACAATTGATTATACATGTAACTTTTCTATATTACTTATTTAAGAAGTTCATCTGAAGGTTCCTACCAATTGTCATATCTAACACTTTTACTTGGATGTTCTACTTGAATGTTCTACTTTAAACTCTTTGAACCAGAGACATGTAAAAATTTAGATATTACTTATTGATTTTCAAATTTATATAAATAATTTCCAAATTTTTGTATGTTTTTGCTTTGAACCTGTAATCTGTGTTAATATCATTAGATTATATTTAGTTGTCTAGATCATTATCTCAACCTTAAAATTATTTTATACTTAAGATAAACCTTTCAGAGCTCTTTGTACCTATTTTTACAACTAATTTAGGTATTATTATAGTAGAATTAATATTTGTAGTTAGAGTTATATTATTTAATTACTATGTTATTATAGAGTTTATACAGATTCTAGTATCTACTTTATAGTATAACCTCAGTACTTTAGTATATTTCTATCTTTTTATCTGCCTTTTTGCCAGATTTTTAATCTAGATAGCTTATATAAGATTATAATTAATCTATTAATATATCAAATTAGCCTAATATCTTTTTTCTTTAATTCATTCTGGTAGCTAGTTAATAGTATTTCTAAGACTTCTAACCTAGAGGTTTTTGACTATTTGACTATTATGACCAGATACTATGACCTTGGTATTTGTTTTTTTAGACTAGTCTTTATATAGAATCATCAAAAATCTAGTTATTTTTCTATTTAGGTCTTTCTAAATGAACTTCTTGTTATCTAATTTTAACAAATTTATATAGTTATAAAAATTTATCTAGTGTTTATATTGTCTGATTTGTCAGTTTGCATTTTTTTAAATAACTAGTTATATAGATGTCCTATGATCTGTCAATCATGCTGATATAATCACTATTACAGGTATTCTAATTCAATTGTTAATAACAGTTATTATTGTTACAAAGTAGATTATTAGCATAGCATAGTATATTATATTATTAGTAGTTATTATATATTCATTATTATATTTTATATTATATTTATTATTAGTTATTAGCATAGTTATATTATACTATATAGTAGTTAGATAATAGAATCTTAATTGGCTATTAGAAGTGTAATACAGACATATGACATTGAATAGCATTTATAATATCACTATTGTTTTACAAATTCAAAGTACCCTTATACAAGTTTTATATATTCTAGTACAATTTACTATGCCAAATAACATAGTATAAAAATCTCAAGTATTCTTAACACAATTTCCAAGTGTCCCTATACAATCTCAAATATCTCCAATACAATCTTCAAGTATCCCTACACAATTCTAACTGTCTTTACACAAATTCAAGTACCTTAATACAAGTTTCAAGTGTTTTAAGTACAAATAATAAATATACATAAACATTGTTTTAACTATTCCTATACAAACTCTACTTGCCTCTGCATAATCTTTATTATTCCAAGTACAGTATTAAGAGATGTTACTCAAACTCCCACTACCTCAACTAAATAAAAAGATATATAAAGAATACCTTTTCCTCTTTCTTGCCAATTCTAAGTTTTTATACTTCAATCTAAACATAAAGATCTTTTAATTATAAAGTATGATATTCTCTTTTTAGAATAATTCTTATAGGCAAGATTGTTATTATGTGTGTTGTTAATAAAAAATTAATCTATATACTGTTATTATCTCAAATCATTTGCCTACTACTGTGTAATAAAGTGAACTACTATACCTCTACCTTGTATGTATTTGTAATAGTCAATCACTGTATCAGATGATCTTTTTACTTGGTTATATTGTATCAAGAAGGTTACAACCTTATAATATTTTGGTGCCTTTTGGCAGAATCCTAAAAATCATCACAGTAAAACTAAAAATTATTTTAGGAAAACCAAAATTTATCCAAAAAAAAGGAACAGAAACTTCTCTCAAGGAATTTAATTTCCAGGAAGCAATTCTCTCTTTAAAAAAGATTTATTTTAGAATTTATTTTGAAATAATAATTGTAAAAAAATATTTTAGAATTTTTGAAATTATTATTTTAAAAATATATCTCAATTACTTCAATTTGAATTAATTATTTTGTATTTTGTATTTTGTATTTTTAGAATTTTAGAATTATGAAGAAATTTATACTTTTATCTTCTAACTTTGATTTTTGATTTTTGAATTATTGAATTTTTGATTTTTGATATTACTTACTAGTTACACACATATACATATACACATATTTTGAAATTATTAAATTTTTAAGTTAACTTCTTTAATTATTTTATCTTGCTAACATCATATTTTAGATTTATTATTTTCTATTTTTTAATATTTTATTATTTATTATTTTATTGCTTGTTAGTACTAACTATTTCTAGAAAAACTTATTTTCTGGTGAAATACTAAAAATTATTAATGAAAAATGAATCTGTATATAGAAACATTAAAATATCTATAAAAGAAGAAATTACAAAAATAATTTTTGAAAGGTTTTTATTTTTTGTCTATATCTCTATAAGTTTTGAACATAAAAAGATAAAATACATATCATTCTATTTGCAGAAACTTTATCTATATTTCTTATTATATAGACTATCCTCATTTATATTACCCTATTTAGATTGGTTTTAAATTATGTTGATAGTGATATTAATGTGATCGATATTAACAGAAGTTAACTGTACTATATATTAGTAAGAAAATGCTTATCTGATCCATAAATTAGTTTTGAAATCATGATAAGATTTTTCAACATCTATAAAAATAATTTTCAAGAAACCCCAAAAAAAGAAAAGAGATATTTAGCATTTCTTAACATTTTAATATCCATTAGAACCAGAAAGATCTCTTCTACAACTTTACTTAAGAGCTTAAGTTATAAATATATAATACAAAAGGCCTTAAAACATCTTTTTCAAAAAGTATAATTTTAAAATGATTTTTTTTATTGTACCACATAGGCAGAAAAATTTTGAAAATTTTTCTAATCTGAATCAGACTATGTAATTTGTAAAGTCTCATTTCTTTTAGATTCTATTATGTTCTAAAATACTAAAAGAGCTAACTTTTTGAATATTATATATATTTAACAATCATATATATACCCTATTATATTTTATCTTTTATTAGTATAATTATTCTCTTTTTTACAAATAATATAAAGTGATAGCTATATTCATGAATAGTATTTTAGCAAATACTAACTTTGTATTATTGAAATTTAAAGGCCATATATAGCTGTTAATAGTTTAATTATTAGTATTTCTTTTTCTAGTTATGTCTTAGAATATTTTTAAGTTTTAGTGTCTAGTAATTCTTGTAAAGAATAAACAATCTTGTTATATCTGACCAATACAGAAAGACCAATAGGTAGTGGTATAATTGTAATCTGTATAGATTACAATTATACTACTTAATTCAGACTATAACCATCCTATTGACAATTGGATCACATGTGTGTCATCATTCGAGTGATGAATGATTCATGCTTGCATCATCAGAGATATATTAGTATTTGCTCTATCATTTGAGTGATGAATGATTCATTGTTGTGTCATTATTCGAGTGATGAATGATTTGCACTTGCATCGTCAGAGATATATTAGTATTCGATCCATCATTCGAGTGATGATTAGTTCATGAGTTCGTCATCATTCGAGTGATGATTAGTTCACGAGTTCGTCATCATTCGAGTGATGATTAGTTCATGAGTTCATCATCACATTTGCTTCATCATTTGAGTGATGAGCATTTTGTATTAATGTCATCATTTTCGAGTAGATATATGTCTGACAATGCATTCAGTTATATATCGTCATTTGTGGGCTCGATGTAAGACTATGCCCGAACTGGGTACATAGTGCCCTAGCTTTCTGGTTAATTCCTTTATGAGGGCCAGAGTTGAGGCACATAGCACTAAAATAGTATTTGTATCCTAGCTTTGTATGATGAACTCAAATATCGATCGAGGATAAGGCATGTAGTGCTAATTAGTTATCCTTACCTGGTGGCCCACAAAAGCATAATTTTATTTTATATATATATCTGTAATAATTTTACCTTTGTGGGCCACTTTTTTTATTCAAAATAATACTTATATAATACACTCAATTATTAATCAAGAATGAGACACTACATGCTGAATTGTTATCCTTATCTGATGACCCATTAAAGTACAATTTTATTTTATATATATCTGAAATAATTATTCCTTTGTGGGCCACTTTTTTTACTCAAAATATTACTCAAATTGAAAAATCTTTGATGGCCAACATTTTTCGGTATAAGTTGTCTTTACTAGTACTACTTAAAGCATATTACTTATTCTAAACTGTATTCTGATTAAAATTATATAACACAAAAATAGTTATCGAATACATACCTTAATTCATATACTGGAAGCACTTACCAAAATTTCATTTCGATCTGGTAGGCAGGTACGCAAATCGAATAACAGCAACTGCTACCATGACCCAGAAATCTCTTTCGTCATCTAAATCTTATCATCCAAAATTGTATGATACAAAAAACTCCTTTATATAATCCAGGTATTGAAATATTAATTTTTTATTTGAATTTTTTCTTATGCTTATTGTAAAAGTGACATAAATCTCTTTACTTGGATATATAACTAGCTGAATGTAGCAATTTCTCTACTTCAAAAATTACTACTTAACTAGATTGTATTATTTTGAACAACAGTTATGCATATTCAATGAGGGCCAAAGAGTGGGTTTTTAATTTTTTTTTGTATAAAGTGGTAGAAACCTTTATTTTAGCCTTGAAATTTCACTTATATTCCAAGAAAGCAATCTTGTCCATACTCTTACACTCTTTTTTTCAATAATTGAAAACTCATTTTATATAATATACTTTTAAAACATAGGCAAAAAAATATATCTGGTAATGCATTTAGTCATATATTATTATGCTATATACATGTGATTAGGTTATGTTATTGCGAGTTTTCTTTAAGCACTTCTGATTTTTCTGCCATTTTCTCTAGCTTTTTCCAGTAATAATATTTTATATTTCAATACTTACCACTATACCTTGTACATATTGCCAATATAAAAAAAGTTAACTTATCACACTTTTTACATGGTATACATATAGAAGAATTCCTGTTAATATGAGAGTCTTCAACTTCATATTCCTCGTTGTATACTTCTTTACCACCAAATAGATCAATCATATTTATACTAAATTCTTTAACAATATATACTATATAGAATATTTAATAGAAAAATTAATGCAATCAGAACATGCTATATGTATGCTAGATGAGTAAGCATTCTTACTCTGTGAGTCAACCGAAAAAATGGCTTGAAAAAATATATTAAAAGCTTGTAATAAGTATTTCACTAATGGGCCAATATTAGTGATACTATACAATAAGATTATTTTTTATATATAAATAATATCCAAGTTCAAATAGATAGTCTTGGTTAACCGATTTACATATCCCACAATTAATCGCTTTTTTTATGACCTTTTAGAGTCACTCCTTCAGCCTGTGAAGCAATGGCACTTCGAGCCTACCTATATTTCATGTGCATCTTACAAACTACACAACCGCAATAATTAACAGAGCAAGAAAAATATATGCTGATAGTGGTGACATCAAAGTGCTTGCCACAGGGATTGCTCCTATTCCTCCTATCAGAAGAGGCAAAGCCTTGGGACCAGACCTCATCTAAGAATTCGATTCAATTAAAGCAGACATATTATCTTTACTAATTTCGCTAATGCTAGTTCATTACTTATCTTGGAGTTGGCCTCGGTATTATTTTTTGATAGTTCAGTAATCTCATCATTAGTATATGTCAATATATTACTATTGGTTTTTTTGGTTTGATCCATATTTTTTCTATATATAAAATATTTACTGAGATCAGTACTATCCAAAGATATATTATCAGACTTAGTAATATTTTTTTCGTCATCCCCACCAACTATGGGTTTCGATATAGTCTTTAATTTCAGACACTCAAGCTCATTGACCTTTGATTTCAATTTGCTCTTTATATTTTCCAATTCAGCTATTTTGGATTTGAGAGGCACGATCTCAGTTTCTTTTTTCAATGAGTTGCTTTGAATCGAAATCACATCTTTCTGAGCTAAAGATAACTTACCTTCCAATATCTTGATCATAGACTCTAGTGATTTGATTTTCTTGGATTTTATATCATTCTCAGCTTTGAACTTCGCAAGAGAAATGTCTTTATTAGCATTTTCAATCTGTAAATGCCTAGCTTCATCAATGAGTTCAAGATTATGAGTACATAATTTCTGGATCTCAGTATTAGCCCCTCCCAGTTTTTTATCCCACTTTTTTTTGTCTCGATCTTATTGTTTTCTCTTTCAATTAATTTTTTTTCTTGTTTTTCATACCTATCCCACAATTTAGCATTATATAAGATATCTCAGAAGAATCTTGGAGGGTGATATATAATTCTTTCTTAAGGTCTATCACATTGTTCATATTAAATAAAGAGAATTATTATAAAAAATAACAAAATATGAAATATATATGATAAAATATGTGTTAGAGACACTATTACCTTGTAATGACTCTTCGAGTCTAGCTCTGCTATAATTATCTGGTAATGCTATCAAAGAAATTACACTTCTAATATAATTCAACAATAATAAATAATTACTGATTTTTTTAGAAAATTATTGAATATTAAATATGTAATTATCTATGATTATCAATCTTTTTTTAACATAAGAGAAATAGGAGTATTTTAGCATTTTCAATAATTTTCGATAATTTTTTATAATTATAAAAAGGATAAAATACATAACTGTAGAATATTATCATACTGATACTCCTTATTTATTACCAAAAGCTATTGAGAAAATCATTCAATCTCGAGAGATGATTAAAAATGCATGCAGAGAAATAGCTTATAAATAAAGTACTTCAACTCATAGAATATATGAAATTTGGAAAAGACATGCTAAAGGAATACTCTTGCGCAAACAGCAACTAATACATAGTGTTGTTTCTTCTGAAATAATGTCTGAAAATAATACTTTAGATAAGAAGTCAAAGAAAAAAAATCAGGATCCAGTATGGAGGCTAGCTTTTTAGTTAATAAGATTGGTATAACTAATATTCTGATAAAAAAAGTAGATAAAATGGATGACTTACAAGTTAAGCTTGTACAAAATTATAAAAAAAGGGAAGAAGCTAAACATGAGATGAAAAGGGTCTTAGATTCCAACTAATCTATTTTTGTTTTTTCTAAAGTAGTTTGCAATCTATTGCAGAGCAATGGCTCTTCAAGCCTACATACCATTTCAATATTAGATTTGTTATAAGCCTGTAGTTTTTTATTAAGCTCGATTAATTCAGTATTGGATTCGAGTACCTCATATAGTGATTTTTCTAACTCCTTATAGCTCATGCATTTTTTTTAAAAGTTAAATCATTAGAATCTATATTAAAATCTGTAAGAGCGTGCCATTTTTCCTGTGAAATTTGATCAGATACCAGAGACATATTATCCTAAGATACAGTTGCACAGTTTACTTTGAGATTATTCTCAACTTTATGCATATTTATTAGAATAAAGAACTCCTTACTATTGTATACAAGTTTCAATTCTCATCTTGATGCAAGTAAATCATAATTATATTTGTCAAGTAACATATTAGATAAAATTAACATCGCTTGGGGTATTTAACTACTGCAAAATCAGAATATATGGTACAACCAGAAGTAAAGTCCACTGGTACATTTTGGGTAGTTACAAGAGATTCGGTAGGAATAGTAGCAATACCTCTGTAGTCATGTTTATCTTTTGTATCAATTACCAACTTTAATCGTTTGGTTATATCTTCAGATATAATTGCAAAATTAGCACCAAGATCTACAGTAGCTGCTAGAATTACTAGTTGCTTGATCTTGCATTTTGTAGTTACAACATCTGTAGCCAGATCTTTTCTCTGAACAAAATCTATTTCTATGAGGTCATTAATGAACTTATCATCTGAATCAGGTATTTCTGAAGCTGGTTTTCTATAATTTTTAGCAGAAATAGTTTTACTAAAATCAGATTTTTGAATAGATGAAGCTGAAGTAAGTAAACTCTCAGCATGAGCTGGCATATTGGTGTTAATCTTAGCTTTGAGTTTTCTATTCAATCTATAGATGCAATGCTATCAAGCATATCTAGTACAACACTTTGAAGAGATTTATCAATAACAGTGGATTTATTTCGTAACTTACTAGAATTGGGAATCTGCTTTTGGTCTCCTTTGCAAGGCTTGAATGGGTTTCCAGTTCGAAGCTTTGCTTTCTCTTTTTTGATTTTGGATTACTTGGGTTTATTCCCAGATGATAATTTTGTAGAATTGCTCTTATGTTTTACTTTTTTTTTACCTTACTAATATGAACCTTAATGTTACTTTCAGATTCAGATTTAGCTGAGGATTCTTCAAAATTGGATCCCAATTCAGAGCCAGAATCAGAATTATTATCAGAAGAGTTAGTATCTGAATCTAACTTAGAGCTTGAATCTACAGTAACTTTATAGATATTCCCTTTTTTATTTTTAGATCTACTCTTCTTTTTCCAAGGACACTTATGAGAATTATGCCTAGTTCTATTACAGTTTAAGCAATAGTGTTGTGCTTTCGTAGCTTTTTTAACAGCCCTAGCTATATGCAACTTCAACTGCTTCTTCATAAAATTGGCCAATTCATCATCAGAGTTAACTTTAACTTTCTTTATTACTGGTTTTGGAGGCAAATCGGGCTTGAAGATAGAAACAAATTCTGAAACCTCCCCAGTAATCCATTGTACAAATCTATCCATTAATATATCTTGCATTTTTTGATATATGCCAAGAGGTTGTAGTCCATAATAAGATTGAGGTGTCTGCAATGGTTGTGATGGCTGTATTTGCTAAGAAGCTAATTGTGAAGAAACAGATTGAGATTGTGTAGGTGTTATTAATTTAGATGACAATTTATAACTAGACTAGGGTATTTTACTAACTAATCCTAATTTTTCTCTGCTCTTCATATTTCAATTCACTCTAAAATTTCAAAAAGATCAGCTAATAGTTGCTCAGTACCAATGCATTTCGCATCATTCTTCAAGTCTGAAGACAAACCTCTTAGAAATTGTTTCTTAATCTGTTGCTCATCAAGATTAAGCATTTTTCTATATTTTAAGAGTTTTGAGTAAAAGTCTCCTATAGGTTTACCTCTCTAAGCTAATAATCCATAAACTAAATTGTGCTTTTCACTTATTACTGTAGGATATTCATTTCTGAGCCAATATAATGCTTGACCAATCTGAATGTTACCAAATATTATAGGATTAGCATTATCTGCATTAACAGTATTGGCAGGTCTATCTGATGGATGTCCTTCAGCTAAGCACCAATCTTCAGTAAAAGCTTCAGCTGGAATCATGGAAACATCTACAGTTATTGCATTATTACTAGCAGTATTTGCATAGTCATGGGCAATTGAAGGATTTCTAAAGCTATTACTAGTATTCATCTGTGCCATAGTGCGTCCCCAAAGAGCACTTATACCAGCCTGGCCATAATTTGCAAAAATATTGTAAAGTTCCTACTGTTTACCAAGAATTTTTCAATCAAACCATTCTAATGCTTGCCCATATAGACATCCTCTAAGAATACCAAATGCTTGATCCCAATTGGCAACTGGGTCTATACCAATGCTAGCTAAATATAATAATAATCAACTAATAAAAATATCAATATCTTCATCATATTTACCTGAAAAATTTGGTAATAGTAGTGGTTGTAATACTATATTTGCTTGTATATTTATAGGTAAATTATTCTGTAATGTAAAAATTTGTTGATTTAAATTCAAAATTAATTGCTCAGAATTTTGTGCCTGAGTTTTCCACTTACCCCACTTGTTGTCCAGTTGAATATCGGCAAGTAATAGATCATTTTCTAGAGTCTTGCATTTATTTTTCCACTTATTGTATCAATTTGTTGTAAGATTTAAGAGATGTGTAGTAATTGCTCCATCCATCTTACATTCTTGTAGTTGTCATTGGATTCATCTATTCTTGAATTCCAATGCAAATTTTTCTAGAAGCAATTTTGATATTTGTCTTTTTTGCATATGGATTGTAATTCGACTATTAAGTTCTCGAGATTTAAATATATTATGTTGTGTTCTGTGGGCCTCATAAGCCTGATGAAGAAGGCCATAGTTATTTTGAAGTATAGCTAACTAGGTTTGTGAATCAGTTAACTGGGTTTGCAAATTTATTAGCTGGGTCTGCAAATCCACTACTTGGTTTTCTGCATTAATTGCGCGAGCATTTGCTCATGAATATATTTCTGGTACCAATCTTTCTAATCTTTTACCTGCATCAAAAATTATATTAAGATAATCTACAATATCATTTAATATAGGTGCTGTTGTGATTGGGCTTTGAAAATACCATCTAATATTATCAACCTCTCGCTGAATTCTATGATTCTGAATCGTAGCTTGATTTTTGGATAAAGATAATCTGAGTGATTCTGATTGTTGAGCCATATCTATATTATCATTGCCATTTTATATAAAATAAGTATTTTTATTTTTTCATTAAGCTTGTCTATTTTATCCTGAAAATTTACTAACCGTTTTTTCAAAAAATCTATATAATTCTCTCAGTTTTTAGAATCTTGAAGTGCCTTTTCTAACCATTCTTTGAGATTAGAAATTTCTTGTCACAATAGATCCAAATCCCCATCTTGAATCAAAATTTCTTTTTCGAGATATTTAATATAATCTTCTTTTAAGGCTAGATCCTGCTGTAATTTACAAAATCGATTTTTTATTATCTGCAAACTATCTTCAGCTTGAGCTAGTTTATTTATACTAATTTCTGGTGTCATTGCAGTATTTTATAACATAATAAACAAGAATCAAAAAATTAGTCTTTTATATATGAGTGAACCTACTATTATTATAGACCCTAATGAAGAATTGCAAATTGTTCTTTATATGATCTACTATAATGTGCCTGGCTTTTATTTTAATCCTAGAAAAATATAAAAAATATGTATAAAAGAAGAATATACTCATTTTTGACTTAAAAATATCACAAACTGGTTAGAGAATCAGTATGATTACTAAATATATCAACACCCACCAAAGATTAAGGCCCAGACTAGCTTTTCTAAATGCTGAATTCCTAATAAATTACATCAATGTAACCTACTGCCCTATGTCCACGATGATCAGAAAAGAGGAAAAATATATTTATACACTTTGGTGTTGATAGACATGGCAACTAGATATAAATGTGCAATAGCATTAACATCAAAGACTAGCTCAGAGGTTTGGAATGTGATCAAAATAATATACAATGATCCCAAAAATCCTCTCAAGTGGCTGGCATTGTTGATAGTTGATGGTGCTGATGAGTTTAAAGGATCATTTACTAAAAGAATAGAGTGATAATGTTTCTATAAGAGTTGTAGATCTTTATAGCTTTGAGAGCTTAGAATTAGTTAAAAAATTCAAACAAGATTTGGCTAGACTTATATACAAAATTCAATATGCCATAGAGGGAAAACTTAAAGAAGGTGAATGCTCGAAATTATAGAACAAGATACTTCAGAAAATTATCGACTATATAAATAATAATAAAACTTGATTAATAGGCATGTCACCATCATATGCAGTGACATTGGAAGAAGTAATACCTAAAGTATCTACTAAACCTAAAAGACCTATTGGAAAGGATGAACCATGATTACAGAAGGGGCTCACAGTAAGATATCTATTAAAACCCAGTGAGCTAGAAGAAGGGCATATGCATAGAAAAACTGACACATAGTGGTCATTGCATATCTATAAAATCAAAAAAGTTATTGTTGGTAAAAATTTACCACAACCAGTCTTATACTATCTTGAGGATGAGTCAATTAATTCAACTAAACATTTAATAGATCATAATCCCAAAAAACCTTTTAAGAGAGAGGAGCTCCAAGTAATCAAGAATCCTGAAAAGGTTGAGTACCCACCTGATGAGTTTATACAAAAATATCACCTCTTTGGATCAATACATTTCATTCGTGTTTCTAATAATGAATTTGACAGGGCACAATGATATGCTGAAAGATGTGATAGAAGTATCTTAGCTAAAACTAGGTGAATAAATAATCAGAATGTATTCCTCTGAACTTGTGAAAATGGACTGCATCAGTTTGAGTACCCATTTTCATTGATTGCAACGAAATTTGAGTGGTGTCCACTTTGTTTTTACAATAAGAATGAGTAATGCTGTAGATACATTTTTGAGGATTTATTAGATAAGAAGTTCTCACCATGTTCAGATAAATTTTTAGGTGAACTCAGACTTGATGGATATAACGAGAAATTGCACCTGGCATGGGAGCATCAAGAAGTACAACACTATCATCAGAATGCAATGTTCCACAAGTGAGGTCAAATTGATCTGGATAAGCAAAAGGCATGCGACAAAAAAAAGCAGGAGATATGCAAGAAGCAAGGTATAGATCTGATTGGAATACCATTCGATTCAAATTTATATACATTTATAAAAAGTGAATTGCAAAAGAGAGATTATTTATTGCATAAAGAATAAACACATAAGTATTACTTAGCATGAATAAGATGAAAGAGAAAGGCATGCCTATATTTGTATACAATATCGATGAGACATCTAACAAATCCTTAGAACAAATGAAAGGTAATAAGTATTCACCAGATGCCCCATTTAGATTACTGATATGTGGAGGCTCCCATAGCAGAAAAACTAATATAGTTATAAATCTTATACTTGGTAACAAACTACAATGTATGTTCAAAGAGAAAAAAGGTTAGCAGTATATTAGAAATGATGACCTTGTATTAATAGTCAAGCATTTTGAGTCTAAATGGCAACTTGTACAAAATAGCTATCAGATCTTTGCAAATAGCCCGAAACCATATTGAGAGGATGTTACATTCAAAAGATTATCTTCAAATAAAATTCCAGATATAACTAAATTCATACCAGAATGAAGTACAGTTGTTGTGTTCGAGGATTTATATGCTAAACCAAAGAAAGTACAAAAACAAATTATTCTGTACTTCATTAGTGGCCAGCATCAAAATATCTCACCCATATATGTGAGCCAAAAATATACACAAACTTCTAAAATTATCTGCGAAAATTTGAGCCATCTTGCATTATTTAACAATGGAGGATCCCGAGAAGACATTTATAGAATCATGCGACAATATACAGATAATCCAAAAAAAGCATCCAAAATTATTGATAAATATTTGCAGGATCAAGATTTCGTGGTCTTTAACTTTACTAAGGCAGTTTATGATTTTCTCACAATTAGATTGGATTAGAACACACCATTAAAATTAGATAAATAGAATAAGGCTTGACAATTAATAATTATTTTTTCTGCTATAATTTTGTTATATTAATATAAATACATTCTACTTACTACTTTTTATATTATTGAGAAGATGCATGTCTCTAGCTAGTGTTGAAATTGAGGTAAGTGTGAAAAAAATAAACTCATCATATTTTTGAAAAAGTGCATTCTATGCATTATCTACAATAGGAGATTTTTGTGTTCCGTAAAATAGGCTCATATGCAAAACTTTAAATATATATTATACTGTTAATTCCAAAAGACGTTTTTGGAATCTATCCTGTAATTGGTTTTTTTTTTTTTTTTTTTTGGTATTAAGGTGACCTCTTTGGTCTTTTGACTTTTATTAATCACTTGTCGGTATTGTGGTT